AAACAAGTGAGTTTGTTCTTTTTCACTTCCGTTTTAGATAGCCTGGAACACCCTATTCTAAAGGGAGTAATATTTAAACCACACATTACGGGTCGAACCACACTTTCTTTTGGGCTTAAGGGCCCCCACCTAGTATCACTTAAACGTTGATTTTTACGTAACAATCTGTCAAAATTAGAACTTTGAATAAAAACCGTTTTCGAACAACAGAGGTTTCATGTCCCTAATTTTAGAGTAATAAGTCCCCGACAAATGCTGTGAGTATGTCAAATTTTGGGGCCGGAAGGGCCTGTACCCGTATACCCTCTCATTATCTCGTCTCGGGTGTCAGCGCCGCAGGCCTAGCTATATGTGCGACAGGCGCGTGGCAGCGTAACAGTGTTTCGTGAGATATCGCGAAGCCTGTTACGCGAGACGTGGTCTGGCGTACATATAGCTAGTTATTGTGGACTTGTTGGTGTGCCATAGAGGTGTACGAAAATGATCTAAATAACTGTTTCCGTTACTTTTTGTTTCTTTTCTTTCTTCTTCCCCATTCGGTGGAATGGTCTATTAATCCTATCATCATTATTTATTTCAGAAGTTCTTCCAATTTTGTTTAGAAGACCTACTTTCATCATATGAGTTAGACAAGAATGGGCTGGCCTCTGTTAAAACATAGGCAATTTTAAGGAATTGGAAAGGTCAATCATTGTTGAAGTATGAACACCTTTTGTATTTTAAGGGGGCAGACCTGTGAAAATCATCAAAAAATTCAATATTTTTTTAATGCCTCAAAAAATTCTTTGATCTTTCCTCTTTCTAATGCCGCAAAGCGGATGTTGAAATTCGAAAAATTGCGCTCAGGAGAGCCCAAAACGTTCAGCGGGTGGCCGGGTGGCTGAACCGCAAGGGCTCGCCTGGCCGCTCAGGACAGGACACACGACGAGGAAGGAGTCCTCTAGAGCCCCGGAATCTTTTAGGACCAGTTCAGTAAGTTGCCCTGGCTTATAGTTCGTTGCTATACATAGGTACTGAAAACTTTAAACTCGTTTTTCTCGGAATGACTTTTTGCAAACGGTGTGCACCCTCCAGGCCGTAGTTTTGGAGCTATCGACTTTATATTTGGCCTGAATGTTGTCCACTTATGTGGTCAGGATCTGACAAGGGCGATTTTTTTTAACTCAATTGCAAGGTACCCAAACCAGGGAAAAAGTACCCAAATTTTAACCCATTTTTTGTACTCATTTTTTGGGATTTTTTTTCAAGTATTTCGGAGTGGATCAGATCTTAGATACATGTTTTAAGAGAATCTAGCAATTTTTTTCGATGTTGCTGACCCAACGGTTCAGGCACAATCGTGCACACCACAAAGGCCTGCATGCGCTCCAGTTCAAGGCCATGCTGGCCATGTTTGTGGAGCGGTCGGTACCGCTCAGTGGCCAAATTGTAGGGCCATCTTTACTTAATAAATACTGGCAGTACGAACCCTCTGAGTCGCCTCGTTTTTTTAAAATGAATTTTTCCCCAAACCCTTGTATTTCACAGGTCTGCCCCCTTAATCAACTTTTAAATTAGGGAATTACATTTTTGTTTTGTTAATTCACAGATCTTGAAACAGCTCAATTGTTTTCTAATATACCTGACCCCTCGTATTGAAATAAAAGTGTCACTTTTCAGTTGGTCACTCATCAAGAAAATTTGATGCCACCACTTTGTGTTAAAATTCAAGATGTACCAGCCCACCAATTTAATGTGGTAAATATTTTCTAGACCTTTATGACTTAAGAAATGGGCACTTTTTCCCCAATAACTCATTACTACCTATTTCAGGAGTTCTTTAAATTTTATCTTAGTCAAATGATCACTAAGTATGATGTTGCCGAGGATGGGCTGGCATCATCAATTATAC